ATGAACTGCGAAAGCAGTTCCGGGGGTTCGTGAGCGCCAGCGAGTAGGGGGCGAAGGCTCCTAGTATTGTTGATTTGAGGTATGCAATCAGTTTCTTTCTCCAAGCTACAGTTTTTTAATGACACTTTCAGTCTATTTTTTAAAATTTTTTCGATACAAATGTTGCAACAAACTTCTAGGGGAGTTAGGACACATAATTTGGGTTACAACTGTATAGGAACCCATGCCTGAAAACGATGTTATACACCTCTAAAAAGGCGCTTTCCTATTTTGAGCAGTTTCTTAGAGTGCTTCTGTCATAATAGTGTTATAAGTCATAATAGTGAATGCCGTGACACCCTAAAAATTTGTTGTAACACTCACGTGAACCTCTGTTAAACATAACATTTTTAAACTTGTACATTTCCACAGCAAAAATGGACTAGAAATGTGATTTTCAGAATAAAATCTGATCCGTAGCTTTTAAGTCAAAACTAACCCCTGTAACTTTCTTTCTAACTTTCATACTTGAAATCCTCGCATCTGAATTAGAAAAAAATCAAGCATTTGTATAAACGCAACAAAAAATTTGCTCCCCATCTTTATGTATTAAGAATTATTTTATGCATCACTTTTGTACATTTTTACAGCTTTGCAGACAGAACTTACATTAAGTATTGCACAGCGAAGCTTTTCCACTTACACGTATTACGAAGTTAGAGCAATAATGGACCCCACTTGTTTTTAAAATAAATATTGCAGGCACGATTATTTTCCACAATATAATAATAAAAATGTTGCAATAAATCAATATTTGTCCCGAAACACTTAATTAATAAAAGACTAAGGTGGCTCAGGATCCTGGCAAATGTTAAAAACTACATTAATGCACGTAATGATTTAAAAATGATTTTTCGTTTTCATTTTTCATATATTAAAAAATAGATATTCTTCCAATTTTAATATGCAGGTAATAGCATAGAAAAAATTATCTACTATAGTACCTATGCTATTACCAAGCTCTGGCATAGTGTCTCGATTACTATAAGTCACAAATAATAGTCAACTTCACTCTAGTTAACTCTGCCTAGGAGTTGAGTGATTATTAGTAGTTACCAGTGCTTTAGATAGAAGAAAGACGCGGAAAGTAATCTTTCATGTTATCGTTTTGTAATGTTATTACGAAATTGTGACTTAGTACTTCTGTCAATTTCTACTTAATATTACCTCCGCTTACTTAATATTAAAATAATATACAGTTATGAGTTATAGATACTCCTCAACTGCGGTGTGAATAAAAAGAGTTGCACCTTTCACATAGTTACCAAGGTGACGATTGTAGAAACTATGACGTTGAGACAACAATTTTAATTGCAAGGAGTTTAAATAATTATTAAAAGATCCTTCATTAAAAATAATCAATGGCACTGACTAACTGTTGATTTATCTTGATGAGGAATTACTATTTAATTTATCGTATTAATCAATGATATTGTAGTATATATAATGAACATAAAAGGTTTTTAAATTTATTATTTCTTTGTTGATCAAATACTAACTTTGATTTATTGTAATTTGTAATATGGTACAAAAAATGGTAAATTTGACCAATTGGGGAAAATGATCACTTTGTGGGATTTTTTTTTAATATAAAAACAACATGTACAATTTTAAATAAGAGAACTTTTAAAAAAAATACACGACGAATTAAAATATCATAAGCTGTGTCTGATACTCTAAGCGAGTTTGAGGTACGCCCAAATTAAGCTAGCAAAGAAAAGAGCAGAATAGAATAAGATTCTAACGAGGACCATGGTCTACGAATGGCTGCTGAGTCTATAAAGAAGAAGTATCATGTCCGCATTGCATTTTATTAGTAATAATTACATGTTTTCACAAAAGTATCAAAACAAAACTATTTATTTTGTCCATTATATAATTAGTAATGTATAGTTTAATCACATAATAATGTTGTTTAATAATATATAATATTTGTTATTAATATACAGTTTATTTTTCATGTAATACTATGTAGCTAAAAATACTTTAATTTCAGGTATACATACGGCAAACCAGTGCAAGGTCTCTTAAATGTAACAGTGTATTCAATGCACAATTATTATTATAATTCAAGATATTCGAAGAAACCAAGACCAGAAATAAATATCTCTCAGCATGTATGAAATTTACTTCAATATTGAATTATTAAATGTTATTTGCTTTTCAATAAGTATCAAAAATAGCATCCTTCTAAAAAAATTCATTTTTTATAAATGTTTCCAAAATTAACACTTATGCAATAAACGAAAAATAAAAAAATAAGACAAATATTAAATGAAACTATTCATGGATCCTTTTTAAGGGACGAAAAAAAGTGAAAAAAGAACATAAGCAATCGACTACACAATCATATCCAAAACAGATAGACATATACCGATACAATTTCCGAAGTTTAAATAATCGCATTTCTTAATTATAATTATTATTAATATTATTATTATTAATATTAATATTATTATTATTATTATTACGATTATTATTGTATAGTGACTTTACTTTATTTGAGTAAGTAATACAGGTTGATAACTGATTAGACTATTCATTTAAGGAACTATGCCCAGCCAAAGCTCATAAAGCTAAACTATGCGAAGTTATTAATCGCAGCCAAGTTAAAATTTACCACAATCAAGTGATAAAAATTCTAAAAATGTATGTTCGAGGCGATGAAAGTGCAACCATTACTACGTAAAAAAATTAGTTTCTTTAATTTTAAACGTAAAAACTTTTCGAATACTCAAATTCTTATAAATTTTTGCGTGCATAAAAACACTTTGCGAGAATGGAATTGAAATGCTTGCTACTGAGCAAAAGGATGGCATAAAACAGACAGTGATTTATTTTAAATATCATTTAAGTCTTTGTGGCCGTATATCTACTCAGAGCCACAAAAGCTTTTTACAGCTCCAATCGTATGTATGGATCTCAATCATCACAGAAACGAACCATATTGACTTTTTTCCGAAATTATAACTTTCATTTTTGACAATAATTGCATATTCAAATTTTTTTTTAAAATACCTAAAGAAGTTTTATTCTTCTTTTTTTTCAGATAAGTGGTTGCTACAACTTCAATATATCAGTTCCCGATATTGAACCAGACGGGAAGTACTACTATTCTGATATAAATGTATATGCAACATTCGGCGAAGATGGCGAAATTGATGAAGATGGTTCAGGTGAAGATTTACAAAATGTGACAGTTGTCACTAAAGTAGTTTCTGTTGCATTTAAGTTTTTTTAATATTACTCTCCCAATTTCTAATTAATTTAAAGACATTTAATTGATTAACATTACCTCTTACGGAAATCTTCCCTTAGGTTAGCCATAAGAAATATCATAGGATATTCCTATGGGGTTTTGTCTAAAGTAACATTTGGCCATACACTTTTGCCATAAACATATGGCAAAATTTTGTCATAACTCAGAAATAAACTCAGTGGCGCGACAGCCCATAGTGGGCCAAATCCTACTGTGCCCATCTCAGTTTTCTTGACCTTGGGCTCTGGGGTGCAGGAGCATATGTTCCGGTTAGGTGCTCAGCCGAACGCGAAAACCTCCAGTGTTTAGTTCCAAAGCATGCTTGGTACTCATTTATCGACCCATTGAAGGGATGAAAGGCTGAGTCAACCTTGCTCGACCCGAGAATCGAAGCCTGGCACGGGAGCGCAAAGTGCTACCACTCAGCCACCGGGCGTCAAAATTTTACCATAAGCGTATAGCAAATTTGGCGTGAAATCAAGTGAATTTTTAAGACAGAAGGTGTGTTTCTTGTTTTTCAGTGGCACCATCTGCGATCTAGAATACGACTTCAGCCACACACACGTCACAGCCCGTTTCACAGGGAGAACCCAATCATACTCCATTCATTCATTCACAGATCAACACTTTGACCTGAACCAGAGAACGATCAATCTCCAATTCAATACCCCAGGGTTATTGATTTGTTATGGGAACTTGAAGGACTGTGTGATCCCGAAAGAATTAACGGGCATCAGTAACCATTTAATACACGGGGGATTCCGATGGGATTCGAATTCGCGTTTTCACGAACACAAGCCCAACGTCCTACCAATCAGGCTATCACGACCATTAACAATGATTTCGAATGAATGAGATATGTGATTTCTACGTATCCGTTATTAGGACCTCTGTTCGTGTTAGTAGTCGCTAATACATGGTCTCTACAATAACCATTAAGTACCGTTCGATTCAAAACTTGATAACTTTAGGTCACCTGGTCCACCAAAGAGAAAAAGATTTGAGGATGTGGAAGAAGACTTTTTTTTCTTCCAAATGGCAGGCACTGAACATTATTATTCGCCTTAGAAGATGCCGGAATTGTTACTCATTTTACGTTACCTAGTGGGCACCTGTGAACCAAAGTCACGGAAGTGAGCAACATTACCCACGCCACACTGCCACAAACCTGCTTATAGGGTGGGCCACATTCACACATCACACACAACAGAGGACATAACAAGAGAGAGAAACATCCATGCCCAGAGTGGGATTCAAACCCGCAGCCATTGGCTTCGCAGTCAGGCACGCTAACCGCTCGGCCACCTGGCCGGCATGGAAGAAGAATTGAAAAAGATAAAAATCAAATCCTGAAAGTCTTACGTCCAGAACCTATACCCCTTCCAAATGGAAGATTGCCCTGAGGCAGTCTCAATTCGATAAAGGAAGGTTCAAGTTAGAAGCTTTTATTTTCAAATATCGGGTTTTATTATTTAAGTAATCAAAACTTATTTTATTAGTATTACATACAAATAACAGACGATTTGAGTCAATAAATGAGAAACAAAAGGAGACGGAAATGTTAAATTCGCTGTATTCGTCTGGAAAAACTACAAAACGGTATTTTTTGTTATTTGCGAGACCATTCATCTAAAATATTTAACTAAAATACTAAAATATTCTTAAAATATAGGTTATTTTTGACCTCAAACGTTGTTTTGAAAAAAAGTGGTTATTTTGAAAACATCGTGTTATTAGTTTTTCCCCGTTAACTGCTCCATCTTTTAACAAACTTTTTAAAAAATTCCTAAAGGCTGTGAATTGGAATTTGGTTATCTAATTAACATGCAGCAAACCGTATGTTTCTTTCAACTCATCTATGTTACTAATTGATTTTTTTCTAATTTTTGGGACGCTCGGATGATTTTCAAAATGAATCTTGAGTGCTGGTACGAAAAACTTCCTTTTGAGAAAAATGTGATTTAAATTTCGTAAATATTATACTTTCACGTATCAATACAGGACCAGTGCATTTCTCTAATTCATGTGAATTATAGTCCCGCAGTGGACTGATTGTTAAGACGCGGTTTCCAGCAGATCACCGAAGTCAAGCATCACTGACTACGGTCATTGTGCGGGTGGGTGACCACTTGGATCAGTCTACGTAGGGTCCGAGGGTGTGCGGTATGGGTCCTCGTTAAACTGTTCTACCGTAAAGTGCTCGACTTCGCGCGCAGATCGTCGGGCTACCGAAGCGGGGGTGCCATCCCCTCCGCAGAGGATCAAAATTGTGATGGCATGTCTTCGGATCATCCTCCGGGATGTTCCCAGACCGTCGCCAATAGCCCATTGTGCAGCTCTAGTGCTACGTAAATTAACAACATATGAATTATAAAACATACTGTTAGAACAATATTCACAATTATGCATTTTACATTTTTATTATTTGTTATAACTTTGTTCGCGTATTTATTTGTTTAGAAATTTATCAGTGATTTCTTATAACAAATTCGAAAAAAAGAATTAAATTTTGAAATATTCTATTTTATAGTAGTGTGGCTATATACCTATATATATATATATATAGTAGCGTGTCTAAAGGTATGTTACGTTTCCTGTATTTAACTTTCTTTTTTTATTTTATTCTGTTAGGTACATTTAAGGAAGACACAAAATATCTTTCACGGACAACTCATCCCCTAGAACTCGAATTTTTCGATGGCCTGGAATATTATAAGCCTGGTCTTCCTTATAATGGAAAGGTGGTACTACATTTCACAAAACTATAATTTCATTTTTTTTATTAAGGTAAAATTTAAAATTAATACACGTTTAGTACTTTTCACTTAGCTTCATCCAATGTAGTGTGCATTATGTTTAAAAGAATATGGACGGATGTGTCATTACTCTCTTTTATCTAATTATATGAGTATTGATAACTCTTGGGAACTGTTTCTTTTTAGCGTAGTATGAGATTTTTTAACAGATCTTAGATACTTTCGGATCCTGATTACAAATCTGCAATCAGTGTCTCTATCCAACTTTTTTTTTAAAAAGAAGATATTTTTAGTCAATTTTTTGTCGAGTTATACGAGATTAAAAACGTTACATATAACAGAGGATCACGTAAATGTAGCAACATACTTTTAGGGAAATTAGGGCACATCAGTAAGATTGAAATGGGATACCTGCAAGGGACGTAGTGTGGGCCTGATTGGGCCTGATTGGTTGTTAAAACGTAACTTTGTTCAAGTTATCAACGGCTCTTTCCATTCTATTTTGAGGTAACTTACCCCGTCAAGTATCAATTCTCTTAAGTAATATATTTTATAATCCTTCTCAAAAATTCTTTCACTATATATTTTTTACTTAACACAAATGCAGACATGAAGGCATGTAGAACATAAACAAACTAATTATGCATTGAAGTAGCCAGGTTCACAAAACAAAAATATATCACATGTTACAATAAAATACATGAACAAATAATAAATATAAGAAAGAATTATATTTCAGCAAATTCAATGTGCGATATGGTGCTGTATTTAATTAACTTCGAGTTAATTAACATTCTAACTTTATGTGGAAAAACTTAGCACAACTTCGTCGCGCCATTTTGTTTAGTGAACAACGGCAAGAGCTGACCTTATAGGTCACATAAGTGGGTATATTTGATCTTCTTCTTTTCGAAG